TGTAGTTTAAAGTCAAGATTTGGTCTTGTGATGTTGAATTATAGCATATATCCTGCATGCATGCCTATATTGATGTGTTTAAAGTTGTTTTCATGGAAAATTATTACATGCATTTTCATATTAGAGTTCTAGTGCATGAATTCACCATGTTTTTAAAAGAATTGGCTCATTAGAGCATGGTTTGAAGCTTGGAAGCTAGTTAAATGCATGCACGTTGCATTGAAGTCATGTTCATGAAGTTTGGCTCAAAATTGTGTTTAATTGAACTACCTTTGGGCTTTGATTTCTCAAATTGATCTTTGAAACATGTTATATTATGAGTTTTGAAGTATTTTCCAGAAAATTAGCCCAAAATGGTCGAATTTGGTACATTGAAACTTGTTTTTGAGCTTGAGGTTCAAATCTGAAAATTCTAGATTTTGGACTCACGCTCGAGCGGAGTGAATGGCGCTCGAGCGTGAAATTCATGCATCCAGCACTTTACACTGTTTTACAGTCCGCTCGAGCGGGATATTGGATGCTCGAGCGAGGACTTGTGTCACACACTCGAGTGGGTATCGAGCGCCCAATCGAGCGTGATTTTCACACATCCAGTACTTTTGGCATGTTTTACAGTCCGCTCGAACGGGGTAACTCGCGCTCGAGCAGAGTATTTTGTTTGCCTGTACGCTCGAGCGGGTAAACCCACAATCGAGCGGGACCCCTATTTTCTGAAAATTCTGAAAATATTTTTAAAGTGCATCTTTGCATCCTCATTTAATCATAGGCATTCTTAGGCCTAGTTTCAAGCATCTTAATGAGGATATTGATGTAGGACCACACCGAGTTGAGTTAGGGATTAAGTTATTATTTTTCCAACTGTGTAGCTTAGTGTGTGTTCATTCTGCAACTGCGTAGGGTTGGCATCCGGAGACGCGGGGGTATTGGACGCTCGAGCGAGGACTTGTGTCACACGCTCGAGTAGGTATCGAGCGCCCAATCGAGCGTGATTTTCACACATCCAGTACTTTTGGCATGTTTTACAGTCCGCTCGAACGAGGTAACTCGCGCTCGAGCGGAGTATTTTGTTTGCCTGTACGCTCGAGCGGGTAAACCCACGCTCGAGCGGGACCCCTGTTTTCTGAAAATTTGTTAAGTGTTTTAAAAGGGCATTTTTGCATCCTCATTTCATCCTAGGCATTCTTAGGTCTAGTTTAAGGTATCTTAATGAGAATATTGATGTAGAACCACACTGAGCCAAAGTAGGGACTAAGTCTTTGATTCCCGAATATGTAACTTAGTGTGTGTTCGTTCTGTCACTGTATAGGGTTGGCTTTCGGAGACGCACTCTAGCTGCTTATAGCCCAGAACTCTGTGAGTAACAATATTGTAAAGATATGTTCGAAAATGAATATTTTTTGAATGATCAACTGAACTGTTTTCTGAATTGTTTACTGTTAACTGAATGAATATTTGTCCTCTATTCTGAACTGTATTGTGGCATCCTTAGCAACTATTGTTACTGTTACTGCTATTGTTACAGAGATCTCTGTCAGTTCCTATCTTGGAATTTCTGTTTACTGTTACGATGGCCATCATTGACTGTTCGGTCTTTTAAGACCTACTGTTTACTGTACTGTTCTGTTAATGGATGTACCACATATGACTATTATGACTAAATGACTGATATAATGATTCAATGAATTGTTTTCGTTACTGTAAGGACATTCATTCTTAACCTCTTTACACATTATGTTATTTACTGGGCTTTAGCTTACTGTTTATATATATATGTAGGTGTCCAGGCACCAGACTGGAGCTAGGAGCGTGGGTTAGACTCCCTTTTGTCAAAGCCAACCACTGTGCCCCACTGCGAGGTTCCGAGCCTGTCAAGCTACGGCTTTTGGGGTGTTTTGATTTTCCCTCATCTGTTTCTATACCGGTTTTGTAATACTGTATAGACTGGTGCTGCACTGTGATGATAGGGATTAGGTCCTTGTCCTGGATGATTGTACATGTATGTATAGACTGTTCTGTTATGAATGTGCATATGAATGAAAAATTTTTTTGCATACGGACTGTCACAGCTCATTGGACATCGTTTAATTGCTGTTTTGGCTTTCGTCATGACCCTGTACTCTGTATTACTGTAATTACTGTTAAGCAGGCTTTCGGTAATCACAGATTACTGGCCGATTACGGTGCTAAACCCATAGGGGCGGGTTTGGGTCATGACACTTAGATATTCCCTGACATCCATGTGTGTTTTGTTCGTTGAATGATGAATGTCTGATGCAAAACCATTTCTTTTTTGCTTTTAGCATCTTTCTGATATATAGAACTTCTTTGTATAGTGGATATTCGTTCAGATGTCCCAAGTAAAGTTCTGTGTCTGTGTGTCGTCTGTCCGGATGTCCCATGACGTCTCAGTCATCAAGGTTGTCATCCGCGATCGTTGAGCACATTGCGGGTTTGATAGCCGGTGTGAAACAAAATTGATCTGGAGTGAATCTAGGTCAAAATTTCTTTATCGATCATCCGTTTGGACGTCTGCCCAGATGTCTGCCCAGATATCCATGAGTGCCCTGCAGCTGAAGGAAGAAATCGCCAAAAATTGGCTTGATTGGTCGACCGCCCCTTTGTGGGCTCGACCTCCTGGCTTGCTGCTCTGTGCTGCTGTTTCTTGGGCCTGATTCAGTACTTGTTTAAGCTTCATTTGGCCTTCAAAACATTGTTAAACACAAAGAGAATCATAGATTATAATGATTAAATCAAACAATAAGCATTCAATCATAATCCATTTCTCAAAATAAATCAACACAAATAAAAAAAAAATCATCAAAATCATGCTATGACTAACACTTTTATTTTGATGATGTCAAAGGAGAGAAGAAATATGATTTATATATAAATTATTTGACAAAGAATTTGTTAATAAATGGAAAGAAAATATCATGCAAATAAATGTCTATATTATGATTGTTGAAAATTTTTTATGTTGCATTTATTCTTGTGAAATTTTATATCGAATTCATACTTGTATTGCCATCATAAAAAAGGAGGATATTGTTAATCATATGGTTTAATGTTGATAATGTTTAAAATATTATTTGATAAATTATGATTTTTTTAATATACATAATTTATATTTTTTGACATAAATTATTATATGTTTAAAATATATAGTGTATGATGTGTTTGTTATAAATATTATTTAAATGAAAATTACTGTGCAAAATCTAATTTTACGATTTACGTTTTGAAAAATCCTGTTGGCCACTATTCATCTTTTGACAAAATTGATATTGATTAATTGTATTTTTTTGACAAATGTGATATTGGTGAATTGTTTTCTTTTGATAAAATTTGATATACCCACATGGGTGATTGATTATTTTTATTAGAGTGTATTTAAAAATCTCTACAAAGGATATATATTTTCATATCTGATATAAATATTATTTAAAGAGATTTACTATGCATACAAATATTTTAATAGAGAAGTTACTATGTAGTCAAATATTTTAATAAAAAAGTTACTATGCAGTTACTGTGCATCATTTGATTTTTACGAGAAATGTTTGAAAAAAATTATATTATACTATTTATTGAAAGAGACGTTGGCCAGTTGTTTCAAACATGGCGTCTTCTCTACGTGAATCTGAGCCGCAATCTGAAGTATCACCAAAGTCAAAGGAGAAACGTGTTTTCCAACAGATATATTATGTTCAACGTATATATTTTTGAAGTGTTTTGGTGTGAGAAAGATAAGAAGTGAAGAAGAGAAATTTTTGTGATATTGTCAAATATTGTATTGTGTTTCATTGAGTTATATTTTTTATAAGAAAATTTGATGAGAATTTGAAAAAAATTGTAAAAAGGTTTTTTGTCCCTTATTCATATTATTCATGTAAAAAGAGAGTTTTTGTGAGTGATTTTTTTGAGATAAAATCACTTGAATTAGGTGTGACTAGGCACCAGATTCTAAACTAATTGGAGTGATCAGGATTGGTCAGTTGTTGCAAAGGTTCACTAACAACCATAAAGCTAGTGGTGTAATTACTATTTGAAAAATAGTGAAGAAATTTTCAAGGAGGATACTTGGAGTGTGGACGTAGGCTCGGTATGCTGAACCACTATAAATTGTTGAGTTTGCTTTCTCTTCCCTTTACTAATTTTATTTGATTACTCTTTTTGATATTGTTGAGCATATTTATTATATGGGTTAAATTTTAATTTGACAATTTATTTAGTGATTATTATTATTTTGTTATTTTATTTGTTAAAATTTAAATATTTTGATTATTATTTTTAATATTGTGAAATTATTTTGAATCCCAATTCACCCTCCCTCTTAAGTTGCCTACTTGGGATAACAAGATAGTTAAAAAAATTAAATAGATAGTTAAAAAATAAAATAGATAATAAAATTTAGATAGATATTTAAACAGATAAGGGTGAACATTGGACAGATAGATATATATTTGAACATATAATCAAAAAAATTTGAACCGATAGAACATAATTTGAACAGATAGATATAAATTTGAACAGATAGTCAAAAAAACTCAACAGATAAATTAAGAAATAAAATTAAAAACAAAATGCCCTTCGAACAAAGAAAAATACTTCTCATCAAACTATTTCACAAAGAGTGAACCCCTCAGTAATGAAAAATATTCACTGGATCTAATACTTTATACCCTCTTTAAATTCAGCTTTTCAATAATTTTCTCTTTGAAAACTAACTATTTTAATTAATTTTTTTACAAAAAAAAAGTATAAATAACTTTTTAATTATTTTAAGGAAAGATTTACTCTCCTCCAAATTTTTGTGGGTAGTATATTGTGTTAAAAAATTTAATTTATACAATATAAATTTTTTTATATAAAATAAATTTAAATCATAAAATAATAATTAATGAATATGAATTCGTTATATTACTCGTATTTTAAAGGGAAAATTAGTCTAAAGTCTCTCTCTCATTTTTAGTGATAGAAGAGATCCACAATATTATATTTTAATGTCTAAGGTCCCTCAACCCACACCCATCTATCACAGATCTCACGCTCTCTATCTCTCTTTCCCACTCTGCTTCAGAGTGAAATAAAGACAATGGTTCGCAGAGCTGTAAAAGAGGAATTTGAGTTGTCTTGTTATCACCATAGGCTTCTATGCTAAGGAGCAGAGTATCATCAGGAGTTATCAAGAGCTCTGAACAGAAATTGAGGGCATACAAGGATTTGTTGCAAAGGTGTCTTCCAAGGGTTTTCAGCCATGAAGATTCGGAGGGATGCATCAATCCATTCTCTTTGACAGAGGATAGGAACTTGTGTAAATTGAACTGACCGAGCAAAGTTGCAAACCAGTATTCAGCAGCAGCAGGAGAAAGGGGGAAAGTAAGAACGCGTTGGAGAGACAAGGAGTGAGGAGGGGAGAAGGAGGGGAGAAAGGGAATGGACATGAAGCGTTAGAAGAATTGAATCTGCTTAGGTCTGGACAACCTGGACCCTCTACTACACATACCCAACGGCAGAGGCTGAGAAATTTGGTATTGGAGATATGTAAAAATTTTATGTGATATGCCGAGAGAAATTTGGTGTGAGTGATGTGTAAAATTTTCTTTATGATGTGTTTAGAGAAATTTGGTGTCTGTGATGTGTAAAATTTTCTTTGGGTTTCAATCTCTAGTCTAGAATTTCTCTAGTCCAGAATTTTCTCTGGTGAGCACTTTACTTTGGTTGTGTACTGTTAGTATATATATTACACTTCTCATTCTTTCTCTTCTATTCAATTGATAAAGGATTTGGAATTTTTTATGGTTTCAATTTTCTCTGGTACAAGATTTTGAATTTTCTTTGATAAAGGATTTGAATTTTCTTTGGTTTGAAAGAGAAATGATTCTACATAAGTAAACAATTTTGTTCAGAGAAAGTTCAATTTTCTCTAGAAAGAAGGGAAATTTCTCTGGAGATGAAGGAAGGCCATAGAAATTTTCTGGAGAGTGGGTTAGAGAAATTTGAAAGTCCAAAGAAATTTTGTTTCTTGGTTGTACTCAGTGCAATAACTTTGTGCATGATTTGTCTGGTGTGCACATTTCTTTTTACATTAGTATTAGTGGTGGTGGTGGTGTTGTTTTGCCCTCCCTTTTTTTTTTTGAGTTAAAAATCATAACTATTAGTTCTTTACATAATCTGAAAATTTCTCTGGAGAGACAGAAAATTTCTCTAGGTTGGAAAAAATTTCTTTGGTCCAGAATTTCTCTGGGTTTGAGAGAATTTCTCTGGTCTAGAATTTCTCTAGATGAAATTTCTCTGAAAAGTCTAGAGAAATTCTCTGGATAAAATTTCTCTAAATCAAATTGAGAGATCTTAAATATTATAAAAATATTAAATATCTTTTATATTATAAAATCTTAATAACAAAAATATTAAAAAAAAATTCCTATTTTAAACATAACCTTTAATGAGAGTAGAAGTCCCATTCATAGATAAATAAATATTTTATTCTGATGCACCCAAATAAATAAATAATAAATTCAGACCGACTTTAGCGCTTTTGATGCTTGAATTAAAACAGTGTCCAACTTGTTAGAAAGAAGAAAGAAGAAAGAAGAAAGAAGAGAGAAGGTAGAGAGCCCACACAAAAAGGGGAGAGAGAGAGAGAAAGAGACGGGGGGCCAAAACTCACGTAAAAGTAGACCTACCTACCAAATCCAGCTATATCTGTAACCACTCGTCTTTTCTCACCAACTTGGTCAAATCCCCCCCCCCCCCCCCCCCCCCTCTACTCTCTCTCCTCTCTCTTCTTTCTCTCTCCTCCACCACCTCCACACACATCCAATCCTCTACCTTTTATAAATGATCGGGTCTCTTGCCTTGGCTTTGCTTTGCTTTTCTCTGCTCTGCTAGCCCTCCTTTCCCCACCCCACTGCATATATATATATATATCCTACCTCCCTCCCTCTCTCTCTCAACACTTTTCAATCAAAACTCTCTCTTTCTCTATTACTAATTCTCTCTTATCCATATCAACATCAAGCTAAGCTTAGCCAAGCCAAGCAAAGCAAAACTCACACAACTCATCCATTTCTCTCTCTCTCTCTCTCTCTCTCTCTTCCTTGTTTGTTTGTATAGCCAACCTAACCCTACTACCAAAATCAATCATAATCTTCATTCATTCATCATAATCATGGGGAGATCACCTTGTTGTGAGAAAGCTCACACCAACAAAGGCGCCTGGACCAAAGAAGAAGACCAGCGCCTCATCAACTACATCCGCTCTCATGGCGAGGGCTGCTGGCGTTCCCTTCCCAAATCCGCCGGTAACCCCTCTCTCCATCTCTGTCTCTCTCTTCTTATACAAATATCAATTATACACATCTATACTGTGTATAGTATAGTATAGTATATTATATTTACTGATTTGTGTTTTGGATTTTATTCTCTGTTTCAGGCTTGCTTCGCTGTGGCAAGAGTTGCAGACTCCGGTGGATTAACTATCTCCGTCCTGATCTCAAGAGAGGGAATTTCACTGAACAAGAAGACGAACTCATTATTAAACTTCACAGCATGCTCGGAAACAAGTATACTATTTCTCTCTCTCCTTCAATTTCATTTCTAATTACTTTTCATCAGCTTTTGTTTCTCATCTGAAAAAAAGAAATCATGACAACTTTTTGAATTGGTTGCTTGGCAGCTGTGAATTTGGGTTGAATGTATAGATATAGGGTTGTATGTATAATGGTGCCTCAGCTGGTTTTTTCAACCTAGTATAAGGAAGAGGAGAGCTTCCTTTATAGAGCCAAGGGAGTAAGACTTCTCTTAGAAGTTTCAAAACCAAGAGCCAAGATCCTCCATACACGTGTATGGAGGATCCAGTCTGTGCCCTCCAGCTGGCACAACTAGCATCCACTCAATCTGCAGAATACTCCGGAAGGTCGTCGGCCAGCAAAAATGGCCGGTCAGCACAATAAAGTGCCGGCCGACACAATAAATTGCCGGTCGGATAAATAGATTGCCGATAGGTGCTTCCAAGGTCAAAAAATGGCCGGTGGGTGTCTAGATTGAAGCCCCGGAAGTTAGCTTTCCAATGGCGCAAACCTTGCATTAAAATTCGTCCTGTGCAAAAAGTTATGCCCTTTTTGGTGAAGCCGCGCAGATTCGATCCAACCGGGATGATGCCTAACTTCAACTGATCATATCTCCCCCACCCGGACTTGGCTTTAAGATATTCTTGAGTGCAAAATGAAGCCCCAGAAGTAAGCTTTCTGACGGTGGTGGCCCCATAGCTTAAATCCAAGTGTACAAACAAATAAGCCCGATTCAGCGAGGGCCGTTCAACTCGCTTCTACCCAGATTCATGCCGAACTTCTCCCAAACTAGTTTTCTCCTCTCCTTTCCTCTCTTCTTCAACTCCAAACTCCTAAACAAAGTGTTTTGAAGGATATGCCTCTCTCCTTGCCGAAGAAGCTGAACATTTGCCCTGCACACCTTCCTCCACCAAGTAAAACATCAGTGGTGCCCAAATCTTAAGGGCGGTCAAAAATGGGGTGTCTACATCGGCCATAAAGATTCGGAGGGTTGCATCAATCCATTTTCTTTGACAGAGGATACGAACTTGTGCAAATTGAACTGACTGAGCAAAGTTGCAAACCAGTATTCAGCAGCAACAGGAGGAAGGGGGAAAGTAAGAACGCGTTGGAGAGACAAGGAGTGAGGAGGGGAGAAAGGGAATGGACATGAAGCGTTAGAAGAATTGAATCTGCTTAGGTCTGGACAACCTGGACCCTCTACTACACATACCCAATGGCAGAGGCTGAGAAATTTGGTATTGGAGATATGTAAAAATTTTATGTGATATGCCAAGAGAAATTTTGGTGTGAGTGATGTGTAAAATTTTCTTTATGATGTGTTTAGAGAAATTTGGTGTCTGTGATGTGTAAAATTTTCTTTGGGTTTCAATCTCTAGTCTAGAATTTCTCTAGTCCAGAATTTTCTCTGGTGAGCACTTTACTTTGGTTGTGTACTGTTAGTATATATATTACACTTCTCATTCTTTCTCTCCTATTCAATTGATAAAGGATTTGCAATTTTTTATGGTTTCAATTTTCTCTGGTACAAGATTTTGAATTTTCTTTGATAAAGGATTTGAATTTTCTTTGGTTTGAAAGAGAAATGATTCTACATAAGTAAACAATTTTGTTCAGAGAAAGTTTAATTTTCTCTAGAAAGAAGGGAAATTTCTCTGGAGATGAAGGAAGGCCATAGAAATTTTCTGGAGAGTGGGTTAGAGAAATTTGAAAGTCCAAAGAAATTTTGTTTCTTGGTTGTACTCAGTGCAATAACTTTGTGCATGATTTGTCTGGTGTGCACATTTCTTTTTACATTAGTATTGGTGGTGGTGGTGGTGTTGTTTTGCCCCCTTCTTTTTTTTTTTTTAAAGTTGAAAACCATAGCTTTTAGTTCTTTACATAATGAAATTTCTCTGAAGAGAAACAGAGAATTTCTTTGGGTTGGAGAGAATTTCTCTAGTCCAAAATTTCTCTAGATAGATTTTCTCTGATTCAGAATTTCTCTGGATAGAATTTCTCTGGGAAGTCCAGAGAAATTCTCTAGATGAAATTGAGAGACCTTAGACATTATGAAATTATTAGATGTCCTTTATACTATAAAACCTTAATACCAGGGATCTTAAAAAAAAAAAAACCCCTTTTTTAAGTGTATTTATGTTAGGTGAGTCTAAAAATTATAAAAAAAAAAATATTCACAATAGAAGTTAATTACCCAAAAGTCTTATTTATAAATGTTATGGTAGCTTAAGTTCTATCTAAGATTTTTTGAACCAATAAATCCAATTTAGTAAAACTGAGAATATTATCAATTTTTTTTTCACTTTTTAAAACTAAAAACATTATCAATTTTATATAGTAATGTAGCAGATAATTGCTTCACTAACAGATGAAAAAAAAAAAACAAAGTATGAGATTAAATATTTTTGTCCTTTTACTTATTAGTTTGATTAAACTATCTAATAAAACCGAGAAGATTACCCCCTCTACTCTCTCTCCTCTCTCTTCTTTCTCTCTCCTCCACCACCTCCACACACATCCAATCCTCTACCTTTTATAAATGATCGGGTCTCTTGCCTTGGCTTTGCTTTGCTTTGCTCTGCTCTGCTAGCCCTCCTTTCCCCACCCCACTGCATATATATATATATATATCCTACCTCCCTCCCTCTCTCTCTCAACACTTTTCAATCAAAACTCTCTGTTTCTCTATTACTAATTCTCTCTTATCCATATCAACATCAAGCTAAGCTTAGCCAAGCCAAGCAAAGCAAAACTCACACAACTCATCCATTTCTCTCTCTCTCTCTCTCTCTCTCTCTTCCTTGTTTGTTTGTATAGCCAACCTAACCCTACTACCAAAATCAATCCTAATCTTCATTCATTCATCATAATCATGGGGAGATCACCTTGTTGTGAGAAAGCTCACACCAACAAAGGCGCCTGGACCAAAGAAGAAGACCAGCGCCTCATCAACTACATCCGCTCTCATGGCGAGGGCTGCTGGCGTTCCCTTCCCAAATCCGCCGGTAACCCCTCTCTCCATCTCTGTCTCTCTCTTCTTATACAAATATCAATTATACACATCTATACTGTGTATAGTATAGTATAGTATATTATATTTACTGATTTGTGTTTTGGATTTTATTCTCTGTTTCAGGCTTGCTTCGCTGTGGCAAGAGTTGCAGACTCCGGTGGATTAACTATCTCCGTCCTGATCTCAAGAGAGGGAATTTCACTGAACAAGAAGACGAACTCATTATTAAACTTCACAGCATGCTCGGAAACAAGTATACTATTTCTCTCTCTCCTTCAATTTCATTTCTAATTACTTTTCATCAGCTTTTGTTTCTCATCTGAAAAAAAGAAATCATGACAACTTTTTGAATTGGTTGCTTGGCAGCTGTGAATTTGTTTTCTCGGCAATCAAACAGAATCCAAAAAGGAAATCCAAATTTTGCGTCTACAATTGTTGATTTGTTGAATTTATTTTTGCAGATGGTCATTGATTGCTGGAAGATTACCAGGTAGAACCGACAACGAGATCAAGAACTACTGGAACACTCACATCAAGCGAAAACTCATCGTTCGGGGCCTCGATCCCCAAACTCACCGCCCTCTCAACGCCACCGCTTCAACCACCACCGCCAATTCCAAATTTGATTTCAGAAATGCCTCCCACTCCTATTCAACCCTAACTGACATCGATTTGACGATGAATCAAAACACATTCAAGCTTATTGCTATGGCGGACGATTCCTCATTCGACGACGGCAAGTGCAATAGCGGCACCACCGAGGAGGCTCCTCCTCAGCTCCTTCAACCACCACCACTTCTAGCTCATCATTCCGATCAAAACTGCCAATCCATCAATCTCGACCTCTCGATTGGACTCGTTCCGTTCCAATCCCTAACACGGAGTGAGTCCGCCAACTCCAACTCGGCGGAGATTGAGCTAAAGAAGGAGCAGGAGGAGGTGGTTCCGTATCAGTTTGTTGTGGCGGCGAGGCCGTCGGAGACGCCAGCGCCACAGGCGGTGTGTGTGTGTTGGCAGTTGTCGTTTCAGAGAGGTCAATTGTGTAGTAATTGCAGCACAAATGGGTTACATAGATAAAGACAAATTGCTGGCCGTTGGATTGGATGCAAATATAGATAGATACTCCCTCCGTCCCGAAATATTAGTCCCTTATTCCATTTTTCATTGTCCCAAAATATTAGTCCCTCCTCAAAAATCAAGTACAAAAATAATATAAATTTCCTATTTTGTCCTTCTTTTAAATTAATAAACAATATAAAAAGTACAATTATGACATTGATTTTTTCAAAAAATGTACTATCAAAAGGGTAATTTTGGAAAGTCAACTTTTTAAAAATCCAATGATTGTACTACCAAAAAAAGTTGGATTCCCCAAAAGGGACCATTATTTTGGGACGGAGGGAGTAAATATATAGATATTCGTTTTTCATAAAATCGATATTTTTAAAATCCTCTTGCCAAGATTTACAAAATAACGTCTATGATAATTATGAAAAAAAAAAAAAAAAAAAAAAAAAAAAAAAAGACAAAATCTCTTGTAATGGTAATATTTTGAGAGAAATTATAGTTTACCCCGGGTAAATTCAAATAATGTTCTAATATCGATTTTATTGTTTAAAATAGTGGGTTCTACCACTTTTTATCTCAAATGAAAAAACAATATAGCAAGCGTTATGATTTGTGTAGTGTAGGGTAATACTCATCACTAAATAATTTTTCATGTTTTGGTTTGGACAGATATTGACTTATTAATATATATATATATATATATATATTTATTTTTCAAAACGACGTCGTTTTGAGCACAAAACATGCCAAAACGACGTCGTTTTGACAGTTTTGAGCCATTTGAGTCACAAAAATTGTGGCCCTCAAACATTATTCTTTTATAAATTGTGTAACTAATATGATTAATTGATGGTTATAAAATATATGAGAGAGTGTGTTATATTTAATATCCTAATTGTTTGTCAATGAACTTGAAAATTGAGTTTAATTTTTTTATTTTGAATATCAATGCTCTAAAAAAAATGATAATATTGAGGAGGCATTTGGATGCTTATGTTTAGACTTAAAGAAGAAATTTGTGAAAAAAAGAAAAAAGAAAAAGGGAAAGAATGAAAATGATAGTATTATTCAAATATAGTTTTAGAAGAAAAAAAATTTAAAACAATCTAAAATTTGATTAATATGGACCTTTAATTTGGCTGCTTTATATGTAGTTTATTATTTTTTGCTTATGAAAAAACTAGAAACATTTTTTTTATAGTCGAGAGTGTTTTAAGTGGAATTTTTAGACTATGTTTAGTTTGATTTTTTTAAAATTATTTTCAAAAATTAAAAAAAAAAAGTTTGACGAAATAAACATAAAAAATAAAATTATATAAAAATTCTAGCATTTTTTTTACCAAATTACTTTCTATCTTTTTTTTTTTTTGATTTTTTTTTCCTTCTAAAAACAGATTCTAAAAATTAAGGATAAAGTATCATTCAATCCCAAATCTAGAAATGTTAAACCATTTAGTCCTGTCTCTTTTTTTAAAGACTAATAGGTCTCATTTCAATGGTAATAACTTTACAGCCCATGTTTTATGTGCATAGGTTTGAAATAAGGAGGGTAAATATGGGTTTGTCTTGATGTTAAATTTACCAAAGTGCCCAACAACGAAATGTAGTGTTTTGTTGTTGTCCATCCTACGCGATTGGAACTGTAACGGTGAAGATGGAAGGTTTTGGATTTTGATTACGATGTTGCAACGATTCACTCATAGAACTTTTGTGATTTTTGTTCGATTTGGTAATGTTGGTGTTAATCCCCAAAATAACATTAGCTTACCTCCCAAAATCCTAGATTGCCCAAAAACCCCTTCATAGTAATACTTTGCGGTTATTGTGACATTGGGTGTGATAACCATTTTGTCCATTTACTAGTGGTGAATACGACATCTACCACATTATCGACACCAAAGATCGTTGCGGGAACACAAGGCAATAAGTGTGTAGTGTATGGTTTTCTGATGTATGTCTAGTTTTTTTTGGTTATGGGTTGGTGAAAATGTACATGGTACGTTGTATTCCCCCGTCGATTGTTGGTCTTGTATGTGATTTAACGTTGTAGCGATGTTATAGTGTAGGTTGGATGTGGGTTTGTGTCAATGAGAGCACGGGAAATGGAGTAATGTTTAGTGTTTGATCATGTTTTGACCTTTAGTACGTTGTGGTTTTGTGATAATGTAGATTAGTGTCTTAGTGTGATTAATCCATTCAGGGTCAACTGCATTTGGGGTAGTTAGGGGGAGGGGGGTGGTGTTGTGATGTTGTTGGTTTGTGGTGGACCTGTTGTTTTGGTTCATGTGGATAAGAGACCCCTTCTTTTGGTGATGTGGTAATGAGTGGTAAAAATTCATGGATTGGACACTAAGATTGTTGTTTTTTTGTTAATTTTTGTTTTGACAGCATTTGGTTGTTGTGTTAAAAGTAATGTTTGTAGTACATGAAGAGTAACTCATGTTTACCCTCAATATTTGAACCCTACGCGCATAAAACATGGGCTGTAAAGTCTGTAACATTGAAATGGAACCAATCGGTCCTTTTAAAAAAAGACAAGACTGACTGGTTTAACATTACGAGATTTGGTATTGTGTGTGAAGGTTGGTGTTCCATTAATATGGAATGTGGTCCCCTGTTTGTGTAGGGTGTGTGAATAAGTTAATCATCGATGTGGTTGTGTTAATATTTCAAAATTCACTTTTATTTGTAAGTTGCTTTACGCGTCGATTAAAATATGAACGTTGCTACGAGATGTGTGTTAGGGTAGTGTCATGGAATTGGTTGAATTGACGTGGTGTTATATGGGTGGGCAAGTAGTTGATGACAGACATACAGTTGACGAATGTCATGGTTTTGATTGAATTAAGTTGTGTGTACGTTATTAAGGTGAGGGCCATTGAAGTGTGTTGTGATGTTTGATTTTTTGTGAACGTTGACGGAAACTGTTTTTGCTAGAATGGAAGTCAATTAACAGTGGTAGTTATTGTGTTTGGTATGAATGTAATGTTCACACACCCAGTGGGGCAATCAGTTAATGCTAAAAAAAAGACTGTTGAGTAAAAGTTTGTGCTAAACAACATGTGTTATTGTGCATGGTGGGTATGTTAGTGTGTTGCTAATTATTCTTGTGGTGGCATCAGTTATATTGTACTTGGGTTTTGTGTTTGTGGAAGAACATTATAATGTTCCAATATGGTAATGTGGTAATGTTAATATTGTTGAAGGAATTTCAAGCCGTTCGAGTGTGAGATATAAAGCCGATAGGAGACCTCTACTCTCGCGTTTGTCAGTTCAGACATTGACTCGATTGACAACCAGAAGGCAAGCAAAACTGCTATTCAAAAAAATGAAAACAACATCCAGGCCTGTGAAAAAATCTGTCATAGACATATCATAGCTAATGTACTGTTCGAATATCGCTGGGTTGATCAAAACGGCATTGGAGTTCGAGTTTGGAGATGGCCATATAAAGCAACTGTAAAAAACACCATTTTGGCTCATGATTGACGCAATACGAGTGCATAAATTGGATCAGAAAACATATAAGAAGTGTGAAGTGACAATGTGTTGTATAATTCAGACCTACAATCCGAATGATGAGAAATTTTACATCAGGGAGAGGGGACTGCTGCTCCAAAATAGTGACATTCGCTTACCTTTTGGAATACAATGAAAAAATGAGAAATTGGATTTGGCGCATGGTGGTAAGGCTCCATCAGATTTTATCCAATGACGATGCCCTAACGTGAATATGATTTCATCAAAGGTTATCAAAGATTTACTTATGGTGGCAATGCGTGGGAGGATGGAACGTGACGAAGAAGATGTTATGAAAACTGGTATGTTTGTACGTATGTGCGAAGTTATTTTTCATTACGACAGACGAGTCAATCGGTGGGTCATTTGTACTAGTCATTGATAAGATAGAGACGTTATGCGTGTATGATTGGACAGTGATGATCAGGAACACACTAATTGGTTCATTAAATAAGACGCATAATAGGCCAGAAAGGGTTACCGGGTGTGTAGTTGCGTTGCTGGTAAATTATTGCTTTACAAGTTTTGGAGTACCTATACACTGCCCACAGTAACTACAAATCCTTGATGTTGTGTTTACCATTTTTATTTTTTGTGTGGTTGTAGTTCGTTCTTTGTGAGCACAAGGCCATTGTGGAATAGGATAGGTGCAATGTGTCACCGCGGTTTTGTTGGTGGAACATTGGAAAACTCATTGGGAAATTGAAAGGTGTGGAATTATCGGTGGAGGGTTGCGTAGAGGTATGACTTATGCCTTCTTGTTGAGGTGTGTTACATGTTCAGTTCATGCATAATTGAAACTGGTACTGTTGTGTTGTTTTTGCAAGTTAATTCTGAGAAACTTGCTGGAAATATCATCAAACGATATTTCACAAAGGGATTAGCAGATGCGTGTATACCTGTTCAAGAGGGTGAAAATATGTTGGAGTAGAGCCAGTGACTGCGTGGTATGGGGTTGCTGTTGATGTGGTAGATGGTAATTTGAACATCATTGAACCTAGTTCGGATTGTTGGTATCTAGATTTGCCACATGGTGGTGAGGTTGAGTTAACATCGAAAAATAAGAAAGAAGATATTTCCAACGCACAAGCATATGGTAGTAACAAGGAGGGTGTAAAAATGTTGACAGCTGTGGAAGCATGGCTGGTATTTGTTCCCCAATCTGCTAGACCTGTCAAGCACACCACATGGAGCCACCGTTTGTGACGATACTATTTGTGATACCCCTGTTCCGTATTATGCTAATTTATCCTCCTTATGCATATGATTATGTGTTTGATATGATTTTGAGTGCCATTTATATAAATAGATGTGGTTTTGAATTTCTATCTGTTCACCGTAGGAATATCTATTTGATTATCTGCTTTGAAATTTAAATTGAAGGCATTATCGGCCACGAAACCCGAAATCGATTACGCCATTGTGATTAGCGTAATTTTTAGAGCCTATGGTGAAATTTAATTGGAAATTGATTCGGATCAGATTAATTAGATTAATTTAATG